TAATCGGAGGGCATCGGTGCATTTTTGTTGAACCATTAGGCAACCTGAAACTATTGTAGCACTTTCAAAGCCGGGGTAAGTTTCCCCCTTCATGACCAAAATACTTTCTGCCATAATGTATTCATATCACCACTTACCAGTTAAACAATGTTGTAACTGCCCCCACCCGAGACCGCAAAAGAAACCCCCGCCGTAGTAGTCTAGTGGCTAAGGTACTCGGTTGCTGACCCGCAGGTCACGGGATCGAATCCCGGCTGCGACGACTGCATTTTCGATAGAGGCGAAAATGCTGTAATTGATTGATATGTGGGGTTTAACGTACCAAAACCATCATATGATTTTGAGAGACGCCGTAGTGGAGGGTTCCGGAAATTTTGACCACCTGGGGTTCTTTAACATGCACCAAAATCCGAACACACGGGCGGGGCGCCAAAATGCTGTAGGCCCGTGCGCTCAAACTTGGGTACACGTTAAAGAACCCCAGGTGGTCGAAATCTCCGGAGCCTTCCACAACGGCATCTCTCATAATCATGTGGTAATTTTTAGTTAAACCCCACATAGCGATCAATCAAATCAACCATGAAAGACCCAGCTTCTCACCCTCTTAGTATCGAATCGAGCTTACTGGATGGTCCCGATTACGTCACAGCACCATATTGTTACGCTTTCACGGAGCTTACCTTTTACTGAATGATCTGTGTTTGTGAACTGAAGCTCGGCGTACTATCGGCAAATGAAACCCGAGCAGTGTAGCGCGTGTTTCAAGCAAGCATTAGTATAGTGTTGGCCGTCCAGTCATCACCATTGACAGGCGTGCACATCCGGTTTGGCAGCACTGCGCGATCCACCTAGAGTGCGTTATCTCCGTTTCTGCTCTAGTTTTTGTATGGTGGTAATGGTGGCCATCGTGGGCGCGCCAATCACTTTTGATCGTATCACTCGCAATTTCTTGCTTTTACTTCAGCGTCGCAGTGCAATCAGTGTGTTGGTAAGATAAAACAAAAAGAGAAATGTAATCGGTTTGCGGTTGATTTCCAAACGACCGTCGTATCTCGTTCGCCAGTGCTGCTTCACCTGTACCCTTCTTTGAGAGACCGACCTGAAAAGGCTTCACTTTAACTCGAAATGCCGAACGTTTCTTCGGAAGAGAGAGCGGAAATTGTTTTGCTTTACCGGCACGAAGTGAAACAGCGTGAAATTGCGAGCATTATGAACCAGAACTAGCCAGGAATTCCATGATGATGGACTCCGTGATGACAAACCGTGCTACAATACTCGCCCTCGGCTGCAATGGTTTAACCTCTGTTTTTTTTTTTTGTTCCTGTAAAATACCACACCTGGAACACAAACAGAAATATTGCGCTGTAGGGGGATTACGCAGTGCTGCCACACCGGATCTGCGGGCATGTCTGTGCCAATGACTGGTCGATGGCAAGCACTACGCCATTGATAAGGCTTGTGCCCCTCGCTCCGCTGCTCGAGTTTCATTTTATGCCGATAGTACGAGGCATGTATGTATATTGTTTTTATTTTATTTTTTTGTTCTCCCTCTTCTTTTCTTTTTTTTCTTTTTTTATCGCCGCTATGTGAAGCACTTGTAGTTCAAATATACGGCCTCGGTGACGTCCACTAACATTTTCAGCCACTTAAAATCCCTTTTAACCTTGCTACACTTGGACCAGAATTTCCATCGCTGCAGAGGGCAGCCAAGATTGATGGGGGCTGCGGTTCAGTTCGAATGGACGACCACGATAGCACCCTGCCTGTCCTTATCGCATGCTGGCAGAAAGTGTTCACTCATCACTTGTGACGTAACCAAACTGCAGCCCGTATACTGACTACGCCCACAGATAATAACTTAGGTCAAGATTACGTATTCTTGTTCTAAACTTGCGGGATAGAGTAAAGATGATACACAACCGCCACCAAAAGTTTACAGACCACCAGGTCTGAGGAAGTTTTCAATGCCAGAAATTTGGCATGCTCTCATTGCTCAGTACATGTTGTTACCGCGTTTTATACCGGGCCGGGAATCTGATTGATTGATTGATTTGTGGGGTTTAACGTCCCAAAACCACTATATGATTATGAGAGACGCCGTAGTGAAGGGCTCCGGAAATTTTGACCACCTGGGGTTCTTTAACATGCACCCAAATCTGAGCACACGGGCCTACGACATTTCTGCCTCCATCGCAAATGCAGCCGCCGAAGCCAGGATTCCATCCCGCAGCCGAGTACCTTGGCCACTAGACCACCGCAGCGGGGCGGGGCCGGGAATCTGAATTCAAGGCTTCTTATAGAATCAGCGCAAATGTTCGGCTCTTTCTAGTGTATCGCTGTTGTCTCTAAGCTTCTGACACTCCGTGTACTCAGTGCTTCTGTTTGAGGCAGGGAAGAAACATCGCGCGGAATATCTTCGTCTAGCGTTTTGCTTTCATCGTCAAGCGGAACACAGCCCGTCCGAACGCAGCAGAGTACGGATGCCCAATAATGAACTGTTTGCAGGCACACCTTTATTTGTTCAGAGAAGCCGTGCGCTAACACAGACGTGATGTGAAGCGAAGACTCCACGTGATTTGCGAAAGCATGGAAAATATAAAATTGCGGTTCAAACCACCGCACACGTGTTAGCAACGCCATAACATACACCATCATCCCGCCGCGGTGATCTATAGTACTCTGCTGCTGGCCTGCAGGTCGCAAGATCGAATCCCGGCTGCGACGGCTGCATTTTCGATGTAGGCGAAAATGCTGTAGGCACGTGTGCTCAGATTCAGGCGCCTGTTAAAGAACCCCAGTTAGTCGAAAGTTCCGGGGCCCTTCACTACGGCGTCTCTCATAATCATATGGTGGTTTTGGAACGTTAAACCTCACATACACGTCAATCAATTATGTACACCACCCCCACGGCCACTTGCGACGGCGTCAATACCTTTTTTTCTTTTACATGTAACGTCGCAAAGGGTTCCGTGACGACGACCATTAATGTACTATAAGCGTCATATGAAGCCGAAACAGCGACAAGCGTTCGCAATGGCACACCGTTCAGTTATCAACTTATCACCGTTGACAGGCGCGCGCATCCTGTACGACATTTCTGCGCCTATATGCATGCCTGTCCATGTTGACAAATGGACGGCACGCACTATAGCATCGCGAAGGCTTGCCGCTGTTCGGGTGTCATGTGACGCTGATAGCACAGATCGCTCTCGTGTGCTCTGCATCATTGAGCCTGATATCAGTATGGTATAGCAGCCTTAGTGTAGCGCTGCTACACGAGAAAGCTTTAGTTTCCCTGGCAGACACTGCGCGTCGGTGGAGGCGAAATGCAAACACGCTCATATAAGTTATGAGTACTTTTAGGATACCCAGGGGTTTAAAAATAAACCCCAGTCCCCACTATCAATGGACCCTTTCTTTATTAACGCAATGGCATTAAACAACCCGTATCCAACAAAATGTCATGTCGGTGTCGTTGTTTGTGAGCAAAAAAAATTGCGACGGGTGCAAAGAATAAAAATTAAGGTTCAAGCCTTGAAGACCGGTGACGTCTGGTCAATAGGGCTAAGCTGCTAGTTCAGGCCCAAGGCGTCCTTGACTAGAGACGCCACCCATATTGAACGACTCTGCAGTCAGCTCACTCTACTGAATATAGTTCAATCCTCCTCCTCTAGCTAGTATAGAAAATAGAACCCGGGTATTCTGCTTGGCAGTCGAGTATTGTACTGCAGATTCATGCCAGGGCTTGAAACTATACTCCGGAAAAACAGTAAAAAAAATCTGTTCAGTTGTTGTGTTAAGCAACGAGTTACGTTAACATGTTACCTATCAACGGCAGTACCATATATATATATATATATATATATATATATATATATATATATATATATATATATATATATATATATATATATATATATATAGAATCCCAACAGATATCACACCATATAAGTTGCGCAGCGAATGGGAAGCCGAGTGCTGCCAAGCCGTTACAAAGGACTGAGCAACAATTCATAATTTATCATCGCTCACAGGACTAACAAAGCATGCCACTACATAGACGTTAAAAATTTTTACACGCCCAATATCAGCTGCCTAGACGTTCCTCCCACCACATCGTGATAGACGAGTTCAAAAAAAAAGAAAAAGAAATAGCGAAGCATGACTATCGAACAGGAAGACAATGCTTACGGGGCCTGAAAACGTTATCGTGTTGAACTGAAAGCAAGATCTAAACGCCTTCCATGCTTTTCTTTCTCTCTCTTCCTGGTGTTTACGAGTGCATGTGAACTTGGCTAGTTCGTATTGGTTTAATATGCTACCACACGACAAGAACGAAGAAGAGGTAGGGCATCGTGTATCTGCGTGATGATCATTCGCCTTGCTGGCAGTCACAGAAACTTCATACCACTTTGAGTCTCAACACTTTACTGAGCGCAACATGTTTTGATGAAAGCGACAAGCCTTAAATTTCTGCCCTGTGATTCAGTAGTTCGTGTAAGGTTTCGAACATCATGATGTACTCGACTGCAATGACGCCATCATATACTAAACACCAGCTTTCCATTTACCTTAGGACCGAGCCGGACTAACTAAACAAACAGGTTGATGAATCATTGCTGCAGTTCTTACACGAATCTCACTTTAAAAAAAAACACTCGAGGTTCATTTATTCCCATGATTTGCGGCAAATCCTCCAGAACAGAAGGTAAGGTTCAAAAGTAAACATAGCAAAATGTAGTACAGCAGGGCAATGACATATGTTCGAGATGCCCCGCCACGGTGGTCTAGTGGCTAAGGTACTCGGCTGCTGACCCGCAGGTCGCGGGAGCAAATCCCGGTTGTTGCGGCTGCATTTCCGGTGAAGGTGGAAATGTAGGCCCGTGAACTCAGATTTGGGTGCACGTTAAAGAACCCCAGGTGGTCGAAATTTCCGGAGCCCTCCACTACGGCGTCTCATAATCATATGGTGGTTTTGGGACGTTAAACCCCACAAATCAATAAATCAGTATGTTCGAGATACCTTCTTGTTAAGACTTCGTACCGTGGCGTTTAGTGAACGACGAAATGAGAGATAAGTAAACCTTGGTCCAAGCATGTCCCATCACATTTGTTCAAAGTCTATACTCGAAAAATCTGCGCCATCTTTTATTACAAGATGCATTGTTGTGTGGCACAACAAGCACAACCGAAAAAATGATTAAAATCCTATCGTGGTAACAGTGTACAAAGCATTACGTGCGCTACCCTGTCGTCTAATGGGAACAAAGCATAAAATCAAGCATGCTGGACAAATTTATCATACGCTAAAAACTTTCGTAAAAACTGTCGCACGTAACATTCCGAGCTTCTGCGACCACACTGCTCATGCTCCTAATTCCATTAAAAATGTCATGAATAAATGGTAATAAAATGAATGCAACGTAGTTTGCGAGTGCAGCGAAAGCTAGCAACAAACTTGAACTTTCAGTGATGCGTCACACAGCGAACTTGACACACTGCCGTTACGGGCTGCTCAGGTCCACGTCAGAAAAACTGTCTGCTGGAGAAAGCGTGCGAACGTCTTTCAACCTCGCGGTGGCCCCGCTCGCACCCGTAGGAACAGTGCCATCGCGGCGAAGGTCGTTCCATGAATTCGCGTACATGTGAGACATAGGGTGTTCGCACACCACGAACACGTTGTTCTCGACGCCTGTGAGAACTCTGTTGACCCTAGCTCTCTTGAAGCAACATTTAGTACACCGCTGGCAGCAACAGCAGCAACATATAGGGGCAATTAGCACGAATACGCCGAGTCCTATGCCCGTCAGTCCCTTCAGTCCAAGCCCGCCACCTTTAGGGCTGGGCGGCTGGGTAGGCGTGTCAGACGAGCGAATGGTGGTAACCTCCATGTCCTCAACGTCGACTACTTCGGAATACACGGCAATTTCACAGATAGAGAGCGAGCCGAACTCGTTGATGTGGAAGCTGACGAAACGGCCACGGTTCGCAGAGGAGCAGGGCAAGTACAGAGAACGGCCGGGCTTGACATATCCATTGAAGACGTTGCACACTGAGTTGTGGAAGGCCGTGGACGAGTTACCGACGCGCACCATCAATGAGACTGCGACGGTGGAAGCTGGCAAGTCAAGTTTCACCACGCTGATGGGAAGTGCATACCGAAGGTCAACCATGAACCAAGGAGACAAGTGAGTGAGCGTCACGCCACACGTCGTTCGGTTCCCGTCCATGGCCAACTTTGGGTCGCTTAGCGGCTGCGACGAATGCACCTCCTTGGCCACCGCCACATCAGCGACGCAATAAGGAAGGCCTTGGGGATGCCAGAGGCCACTGGTCAAGCACACACGATGATTCCTGCCCAGCATCTGAAAGCCCTTCTTGCAGGCGTACTTTACCTCCGTGCCAGCAGTGACATTTTTCGGGATCTCTTCTTGTGCGTACACTACGTTCCTTGGAAGATCTGGCAAAGGGCAGCATAGCATCCGCTCGCCTAAGCATAGGAGCAACAACAAAGTAACATTGGTCATGCTGCCTACAAATTATCGTATATACCAGAGGAAAACTCCAAAACTTTTTTGAACGTAGCTTCGGTATCTACGAGGCCCACCCGAAACAAGTAAAGCACGCCGGTAAATACGCGATACGCAAGACTTTTGAAAGATTTCAATGCACGATACGAACTGTGCCCACGTGATGCGATGCGAAAGTGCCCTATCCGGCGGCTTCGAATTGCCTACAAGACCGTTTCTTACTGCCGACGATATTCTAGGTTGCGTAGCAAATTTATACTGTTTTACGACACCCGATCTTAGCGCCGCCTGTTGACGCAAAGCTGAAAACACGCCTATGCAAGATACGCTAAAGAGATAGCGGCGGTGCATGGTATTTCTTAACTGACTACAGCGCATGGTTCACGCTGCAGGCAAGCACTCAGCCCATGCGCATGATTACTTCACTGTTGCCACGCTGTCTGATCTGCATAAGAAGCACAGTATGGTCACTTTAAAGGTAATTCTGCGGGTCGGATAGGGCATCCGCCGTGGTGAAGGCACGGCTGTACGCTACTGAGGGGCATGAGTCAATGACTTCTTTCACAGGTGCATATTTTTTTTCGTGGAAGTAATGACAATGTAAATAGTCTTAAACGTATACCCCATTGAATCAGCCACTTCGAATATGCTACACTAGTTTCTGATAGTTTTGTCAAAAATAACTAAGCGTATATTTGTTTCTCGTTGTAATCACAGCAGTCCAAGCTGCGCACTGTTGGCGACAGTATAAGATACACATGTATTGACCCTAAATGTTCTGTAACACATGGCCGACAGCTGTGACTACCGAGGCGTATTGCGCCCTGGTAATCGTTAGTTTCGTAGAGCGAATGGTAACGACAAAATATATTTTATTGTTGCTCTTTCCAGTGGTATACTGCTCGGAAGCGTAATTGATTAACTTGTGGTGCCTCTGCGCTACTTTACAAACGCAGCCTCGTGGGAAGCACATAATCTACAGCGCATGTATCCAGTGATATTGTAATTTTGCGTATAATGGTACCATGTGAACGGTGATGAGGTTACACGTCGCTACATATCTGTTATGACAGGCTACGTATAAGCATTCACGTACACAAAATGAGAATAATGCATACGTCCCCAAAATAAAAAGAATGCTTCAGCGTACCTTCGACGAAACGTATACATTAAACAAGATAGAAATATCCTGCGCGTGCGCTGACAAGATATTTTTCCAGCCAAAGAGGCCTATCTGGATGCTCCGTTATTTTACAAGAAGCGTATCGAGATATCGCGAATGTTATACCAACGCGCTTGCTTTCTTTATTTTCGTTTTTTTAAGCTCTTTTAATGTAGCTGAAATGACTGACCCTGGCAAAAAACGCACGTTCTAGACCGCGTTATTACTGCCTTGTGAAATACATGTTACTAAGCATGTATTTCAGCTAGTTCGGCTATTAACGAAGTGGTCAGATATCACAGATAGAGTGGAATGTCCTATTTTTCATACCGCGTTTGTAGTTCCGTAGCTTCATGGAAGAGAACACTCACTATTTTGCGAATTGGCTATAAATGCAAGCGCTGACATCACAATAATTCTATTGCAGAGTCCATATGCACTCTCAACCCGGTGATACGTGTGAATGTCGGGTCATTCCTAAAGTTTCGTGCTAGTGGGGCAAAGGACATGACAGCAGAATGAAACGTAGGACGGCACACACAGCTGTGTCGTACGTTTCATCCTGGTGCCCCTGTCCTTTTCCGTGCTACAACAAAGCTTAAGAAATGACTGTGTCCGCTGCGGTGGTGCAGCAGTTATGGTGCTTGGCTGCTGAAGCGAAGGTCGCGGGTTCGATCACGGCCGTGGCGGTCGCATTTCGATCGAGGCGAAACGGTGTAGGCTTGTGTATAGTGGGCGATGTCAGCGCACGTTAAAGGACACCAGATTGTCTAAATTTCCGGAGTCCCCCACTGTTGTGTCCCTCATAATCATACTATGGTTTTAGGACGTAAAACCCGAAATACGATTAATATTGTTTTGAAAGAAATTATTCAAATGCTCTCCGCAAATTCAGCCAACAACGCACGAAGGAAAAGTATGCTTTCATTTCACCTCCGCTGGTCAAGGAATTTTGCGATAAAATTTGTCAAAACCTTCTCGCTGGTGAGAGCCTAACATTCAGAGCACGTCTACTGCGAATCCTCACGCATTCGCACGAACACACACACGCGAGCATCAACATAAAAAAAATTCAGAAAACTGCGGGCAGTATATGGTAAAACAGCATTTTTGTTTGGATATATATATATATATATATATATATATATATATATATATATATATATATATATATATATATATATATATATATATATATATATATATATATATTATATATATATATATATATATATATATATATATTCAGAATTTCGTCGGACATTGCGACTAAACAAGTATGCCCTCACTTGTGTCCACAGCGAGCTTTCAACTCTAACAGACTATTATGAGCAACGTATATGAGACCGAAACTTGCCCCGCTGTTTAAAAAAGAATGAAAGCCATACTCGGATCGGAATACATGGACATATTATCACCATTTAACCCATCACAAAAATACTTGTGCAAAAATTTTCTAAGGATGATCAGCATAAAACCGGCACCACCACATGAACTTATATAAATTTCAATCGTCTGCACATGCACCTTGTCATGAAATTAGGTAAAAACGGCCGAAAGAGCTAAAAAATAGAGAATATTGGCTGATACAGCTCAACTACGAAAGAGGTATCTGCTTGACGTTTCCATAAGCTCCAGATTGCTACGGGCTGGTCACCATACGAAATGGAATATTATAATGTAGGTATTCCACATCAGTCGCGAATATGTGTTCATTGTAGGACGGCGACGAAGACCTCTGGATTCCAGGAAGCCATCCCAGATGACCCGAGAACAGGAAGGAATCTGAAGAGGCGAAGCGCGGCCGCGTCCACCGATGGCTTTTATAGTGAAGACGAACGAACCAAGCGCAACACAACACGTCTGGAACTCGAGGATTCCGAGGCAGCAGAACCGACGGACGTTCGAGAGGGTGGGCACTACACCGCAAGCACTCGCTGCTATCTGTCCTAAAAGGAAGGACATGGCGTGTGAAAGTCCAGCGGTCGCGCCCAACTACACCCAGTGGGGGATCCAGAGTGGGGGGGGGGGGGGTCATCTCTCCCCAAAGTCTGTGTCAGCACTCCCCCCCCCCCCTTACTTCAGTGCTCGTAGTCCACCTCCTATCACCGATTCAGACAAATGAGTGAACCACTGTGAGCACACATTCGCAGTATTATGCTATGAAGGGTTTTTTCTCCCATCAAAAAAAAAAAAGTTCATGACCTCAGGTGTTCCCCTCCGCGCCCGCCCCTTACATCTAAAATGGGTGACTGGATTCGCCCCTGACTGTGCCGTGCCGCCAGCGTCACAGATTTGTGGTTGGTTGACGCAAAGGTGCTGTTCAAGACGAGCTCTTCGGCTCTTCCCAACGTGATGTGGAGAATGGTGGTTATGCATCCGCATTGGAGGTGTTTCTATGCCACGACCTACACAGACTAGCCCAAACAGTTATTGTCAACGTTTAAGTATTTACAGGTCGAATTAAAGCTTTATGTGTACAATGGCCTGTGTTATTCACGAAGGTACTGAAGTTACTGTTCTGGCTCAGTAGTCCTCTGCTTGTCGGGGATCACAGACGAGAACGGCCGCAAAAATCCTTCTTGCACCCGCCTGTTCTTGCACCCACCTAGCTGTAATTCTCACCTTCTCAAATATATGCGCAGGTACGTTTATAGTTTGCGGATCTACAGAGATTAGTGAAGGAAAGATAAGAAAATGGTGTCAAGACTTCAAAAACTGCCGCCCAAACGTGCCCGACAAAGAGGGTAAACCGGCCCAGCATAAAAAACAACGAAACTCTTGAACAAGTGGACCGGAAATTGCGACTAGATCGACGATGACTGACAGTAACCAGTCAGTCTTAGAATACTCCTCTTGGTGGCCGCACTGTAATTTACGCGAATATAACTGAAAAAGCTCGGATATCACAAAAGATGTGCCAAATAGTACTAACTCAAACAGCAAAAAAATGTCAAGTGGATGAGTGTTCTTAGATCATTACCGAAAAGACGGAGATGGCATGTTTTCGCACATTGTTACAGGCGACGACATTTAGATATCTTACGTCACTGCAGGAACAAAGCAACAATCAATGAAGTGTCACCACTCCGCTACACCAAAATCTCAAAAATCCAAGCAGTCTCCTTACTAAAGTAGGAAAATTGTGGGTTGCATTGTTTTGGCAAAAATAAAAAGTCATCATTTAGGTTGATTTCATGGAATGTGGACCCAGAGTTACAGCTGATGCTCACCAAACTGAGATGTGGGATCAAAAATCGATGGCGTGGCAAACTGTCTGGAATTGTCCTCCTCCATAAAAACATTCGTCATCACAGCGCCGACAGGGAGATAATATTTTGGTTGAAACTTCTTTATCACGCACCTTATAGTGTCACGACATCACCTCAAATGATTATTTCCTCATCTTGCTTTTGAAACAGTGGGTTGGGGGACAATGGTTTGAGGACAACGAGTAAATCATACCGCCTTTGTCAACTGGTTCTATTCCTAAGCCGGCAACAGATGCGCTAAACAAACTGATGCAGCAGTACGAACAGTGCTTTGATGTTAAAAAGGTACTGACATGACAGATTTCATGACAAAGGTGAGTATCCATGGTGCTTTCCTGATCTCCGAGCTCTCAATTGTTGGGGAACGAAACTCCCGTGAAGTAAGAGTTCGGGCCTAATTGCATGAGAAGACTCATTGTCGCCCAAACGTTGGTGTCTGGGAGTCCAGATATTGTATTTGCGCTGCATGAGATCAGTCACTTCTTCAGCATTTTTAAGAAATTTGCTGGTGAGAAACGCCCCCTGCCTAACCATGTATTGAAAAGAGGCCTTACAGTAATCTGTAATAACCGAATTGCTACTGGGATTGAAGGCTGCACTGCAAGAGCTTTTGTTGTACCTCTTCCGGTCGGGTTGAGTTAGCGCCTCCTCTATAGAAGAGGCCCTGGTTGAGTTTGCGGCTGTGAAGAATAACCCAATAATCTGAGCATCTTGGTGAATGACAGCCGCCATGCAATATTCGTCTGATGCAGCTATATGTGAAAGCTCCAATGA